TCTCAGCACCATACTCCACCATCACCCAGAGCACCCCACGCCCCCACCCTGCATTCCTGTCACGTGATCAGTTCCCTCCAACGCTCCAGCACGTCTGAAGTACAGCCGCTTGGATCTGCTATGGCCTCCGAAACATGTGCACCTATCGCGACCTCCCTCATCTTGGGCTAAGCACAACAGGTACACATCTCCAGCTTGCGCACTCGTGCAACTTCGCGACCTACACACTTGCTTCACCTCAGGTGAGCTAGAGCGAAGCTCAGCCTAGCTAGCCTTTGAGACGAGTCGCAAACTATCAAGCGCAAAGGGTTGGCGGAGGAGTGCAACATGCGGCCGCTTAGATTCGGCTGGTGGCGACTGGGCCTGGCAACGTGCGCGCTGGCCGGCGCAAGCGCCGCATTCGAGGTGCTCATTTCCGAAGCGGACAATCTTAAACAGACATGCAGTGGAATGTGGGCTGGCAAAAATACTTCCATCGACTGTGAGTCATACAAAAAAGATGTAGGGACACATTGGAGTCGGTCCCTGGAGCAAGTGGAGCTTCTGTCTGCTCACCCCCACCCCCCGCTGCATGTGTCTCGCATATGAGATCAAGGGGGGGGGGGGTGACTTGTTGCGGTACATCTAGATGGCGAACCCACATCTGTAGATGATGCTGAGGCATTGGCGTCATTGCTTGCTACATTTTTGCTGGCTTTGAAATCACTCTGACGCACTTAAATACTTCTTCCTTACGCACTCAGTGACTTTCAATGAAGGTTCCGGGGCTGTGGCGACGCTCTTCTATGAGTGGGCTGACTTCCCAAATCTGGGCATTGTCTCGCCGGAGCAGGGTCAATATGGAATCAAGGTGAGCGATCAATTGCAGAATTTGGCAGAGATACCTCGTTGTGCTGGGCTTACGCTTTCCCCCTTAACCACGATGCGTACATCCTCCGCACAGCAAATGGTATACATCTGCACAACTAAAGCAGTACAAGAAAAGCTCTGCAACAAAACTGACCTTGGTTCCTGGATCACCAAGCCAAATGCCACTTCAATACAACAACAGACGCTGCGCTTTCCGCAAGATGGCCCATTTCCGAAGACAATTGTGTGTAGGCCACCGGGCAGCTACAGCGCGGCGGTCACATTCTAGCTGACGCATTTTGTCCTCGCTTTCACTACCGTCTCTGGTGCAGAACTATCCGGTGAAACAGAAAGGCTACTTTTGCGTCGGTGCGAGTGAGCCCCGGCGCGCGTATTGGATGACCCAAGTGCACAGCTAAGATTTTCTCGTTTCCTGTTACATTCGTCACAGCTTCGGTGCCCATGGCGACGGATGGGTCGGCGCATTCCACTTTCAAGGGCGTCGTCAAGTTCAACAACATATTCAAGGGCAGTCTGAGGGCATCCGAATGGCCAAGGCTCAACTTCTACTTGTCCCTGACGTCCGTTTACGTCATCCTCGGCGGCGTGTGGTTCTTCCTCTGTGTCAAGCACAGGCAAGAGCTTCTAATGGTGCAGCACTTCATTTCTGGCACCATCGCATTCTTGATCGTCGAGATGGGCGTGCAGTGGGCGTATCAGGCCTACTTGAACAGTCACAGCGTCGACTACTGGCATATGTCTTCCCTCACGGGCGACAAGAGTGTCACGAGTGTCACTAGATTCCTGCTTGTCCTCTCGAGCGTCTTGGATGCCGCACGGAACAGCATCAGTTTCTTTTTGCTGCTTATCGTCTCGTGAGTAAGCGCTCGCCAGAGCCTTAAGTGTCAAGTTCTTCGTAACACTAAAGCCTGCATCCCTTCCTTTAGGATGGGCTATGGTGTTGTGCGGCCAACGATTGGTCCAATCATGACACGGGTCCGCATCCTGACTGCCGTGCACTTCGTCTTTGGTGTGTTGTACTCTGTCGGCATCGCGCTTTTGCTCATCGAAGAAGGCGGCGGCTGGGTCTTCTTCTTCATCTTCCCTCTTTCTTTCACCCTCACCGCCTTCATGTCGTGGACGCTACACAGCCTCAATGGTACAATTCAGCGCCTGACGGCTCGCAAGCAGAGTGAGTACATGCGGTCAGTTCGGTGGACATCTTGGGCTGCTGGCGTTGTAACAGATGGCCCGTTCTTTGCTCCCCCTTTCTTAAGCATTCAAGCGGAACATGTTCCAGAAGCTTTATCGAATCCTGCTTGGCGCCGTAATTCTAATCGTAGGTGATGAGCGAGGAGAATTCTTGGAAGATTACAAGCTCACTACAGCAACACGTCTGCATCGCAGTTCGTCTTTTTCGTCGTTTCCTCTTTTGCATTCTCCCAAAGCGGCTCTGACAGCTTCGCCCCGCGCTCTTGGCCTTATCGATGGTTTCTGTTGGACGGTTGGCTCGGCTTGCTCTACTTTTTCGTCTTTGCCTCGATCGCATGGATCTGGCGGCCGACGGGTCAGAACCTGCGTTTGTCTATGTCAGACGAGATTGCCACGGATGAAGACGCCGAGGTAGATGACTTTGAGATCGACACGTTTGCGCAGCGCGATCCGGCCGACGAAGAAGATGTGGACCTAGAGCAAGGGAGGAAGAGGAGCGCACTCGCGAGGAGCGAAGAGCAGCAGCGGCAGCAGGAGCAAGAGCAACTGCAGCAGGGGCACTCACAGGCGCTGTCACGGCAGCAAGGGCAAGGTTACAGACCGCCAGCAGATAGCGAGGTGATGTTCTCAATAGGCGAAGACGATGGGCCAACGCCACGTACGGCGTCGATGCGGCCTCGTGGGACTGCAGCCGAGCACGAGGGACTCATGGATGGTCGAGAAGACGACGAAGAAGACGAGGGGAAGAAGGCTTGACCCTCTAGATATGCCCCACGTCTGTCCGCACAGCCGTCATATCGAGAGCTCGTGTAGACACCAAAAGAATCAATGGACATTCTCTTCTCAAGAAAAAGGTGCGTGAAGTAATGCCATGTGGAGTGTGGATTGATGGGTGCTCATGCCCTTATGATACACTTTGAAGGCTACTTAAGCTGAAACGGGAGGTTGTGTCGATTGCTTGCGCGGCATGGAAATGCTTTCGGTAAGATGGTGATGCATGTAACAGAGAAAGACGGTAGGGAATTCTGGGATGCACGCTTCCTGTTTAAGGTGTCATGTCCACAAGTGGTGATGAATATAGTGGTCATGATGGTCGTTGTCGTGGCTGGGATACTTCTACCGCTCGCCAGAGCTTGTTCACAAATGTGTCATTGGAGGACACTTTGCGCAGAGATGGTAGTGAGAGGGAGGAAAGGTCAGCGGGGCTTTGCGAACGTCGACCCTACGCTGGAAGACACGCCTAGACCCGGAAACACACTCTTTCCAGATGTCCATGATGTTCCACTCCCTGGACCGCCACTTGGAGCTTTCGATTGATGAGTGACTGCTCGCCAATATTGAAATTAATGGGCGCAGTTGAAATACGGGCGAAACGAAGAGGAGTAAGATGGTTTCTATCGTCAGTCCTAAGTCTGCACAGACCATCTCTCTCTCCCCGGCCTGCTTAGGAAGGGCATGCCATAAGGCATGGACACGCGACACACCTGCTGTCTTTTGAGCAGCCTGCCACCGTTGCTCTAGCCACGCATTTGCTTGTGCAACGTCAAATCCGCTAACGACATTATGCGCGGCTGCTGATATACCAGCCGACTTTGCTGACGATGGAGTCGGCATCGCAGTGCTAGCAGCAATAGCTGCCTTGGTTAACGAAGGTGACAGTGAAGAAGGGGCAGCAGCAGTGGCAGTGGTGGTGCTATTGCGCATTGTTCTACTTTTCGCTGCCAGCTTTCTTTCTACCCTTGTTCCAAGGCGCCAGCGCCTGTCTATTTGACCGCCGCCTACAGAGACTGCCGAGCAAGAGTGGCCACTTTGATGCTAGGTGTGAGCTTGATCGATACAGCTCAGTGTCTGCGCATGACGATGGCGGAGTTATCGAATGTACTAGATACCTTGGAATGAGAATGCTGGGTGCCGAATGCCGAGTTGGTCAGTGCGACGCGACAAGTCATCTTGAAGTTAACAGTGGCCAAAGCTTCATACTCTGTGTTGCACCCGCACTATTCATGCACAGAGTAGGGTTGAACCCTATTTTACAGCGGACCCATCGTCATCATCATGGCATTACAGAGATTTTGACTTTTAGTTGTAGTCTTGTGCGCATGTCGGCAAGAGTGAGAGCATCGCGTCGCCGCTGTCTGGTGCATGCCCATCCTCTCCAACCTGTCGTATATCGTGCTTGCCTTTGAATGTCACTGGCTTGTAGGGGAAAGCCAGGTTATTTCGCTCATCGCCCAGCCCAACGCAGCTTGCGAGTGGAGGCCGCTACTCGGCGGTGACGCCGCTTGCTCGACCAATATGAACTACCGTGGGGCTCCACCGCCGCGGCCGCGCGCATTCGACTTTGACGACAACGACGCAGGAGATGACTTGGGTCAGCACAGAGGGGCAGCCAGACCTGGTTATCCTCCAGTTCGGCCGCTGCCGGCTCGCTATGACGACCTGCACGACTCCCGTGCACGAGACGAGGGTTCAGGTTACCGTCGAGGGGATGACAGTCGCTATGAGCCAAGTTCTTACCATGGAGCACGCGCGAGTCCCAGCCATCGATCAAGCGATAGACCGGAGCTGTTGCGGCGACGCAACCGCAGCCCGAGCGACTCCAGGTCACCTTCTCCTGATCCCATGCTAGCCGCCTTCTTGGAAGCAACCAAGGAGGACCCAGAGGAGGCCAAGAAAAAGGAAGTGGAGAAGAAGGCTGCATTCTCGACAGGCATGGCTCGGAAGAGCAAATTCCAAAAGGAGAAAGAGGAGGCAGAGAGGAAGCGAAAGACAGAGGAAGCGGAGGCAGCTGCTGCGTACAAAGACTTTGTGGAAGCCATGGAAGGGTCTGAACCCAAAGTGAACCGAAGCAGGAGCACGCATGCGTTCATCGGGTCCGGAGGCTCCTCGTACATGCCGTCCCGCCCGGTCTCCCAAGTTCCTTCAGCTCCAAGGGCAATGCGGGTACCCGCTACAAGTGCCAATTTGTCTGCATCGAATGCTTTCGGCGCCGACGAAGACGAAGAAGCTGCTCCTGTCAAGCCTCAAGACGGACAGCCATTCAAAAGGCGCCGAGCGATGGACGACTTTGCGAGCCAATTGAAGCGCGAGCAAGGAGAGCGAGAACAGCGCCTGAGAGGCCGTGTGCCCGAGGGAAAATCGATATCTTCCGTGTTAGCCATGGAAGGACAGCGAATCGGCTCTCGGGATGTCAAATCTGACCCATTGACCACGAACGTATGCGTGCTCAACCTGCCGGCAAACGTGACAGAGCGCTCGCTTGGCGAGTTCTTTGCGCAGTGGGGAGATGTCGCCACGGTGAAGATCATGTGGCCACGAGGTGATGAGGCACTCGGCGGCGGTGCAGGGGCTGGTATCACCTCCTTGCGCAAAGATCGTTTGGCCGGGTTGACGGGCTTCGTCGCATACATGCAGCGAGAAGATGCCGAGTACGCGCTGAAAGAAACAGACGGGATCACATGGGGTGGGGCCTTCATCAAGACGGGATGGGGTAAGGCGATGCCATTGCCGACCCGAGCCAGCTATAGTGAGTTAATCTTGAGGTCATGGCCACAGGGTTCATGGGATTGGCAACTGATCACGCGTCCTTATCCGCGTTAGCATTGCCTCTAAGCGGACGCAGCGGAAGAAGAGGACGAAAGCGCTCACGCTCCTGCTCGCCAGATCCTCGCTTCACACGGTCAAGGTCACGGTCAGCCGAGCCTCGCAGGAATCGCTCCTCACGTCCAAGAGGCCGCTCCACGTCACCTCGGGCGGAAGTTCGCAAGCGTATCGACCCCGAGTCTGAGCAGGCCAGATTCATCTCCGCCGTTGCGGAGAGGGTCTTGCAACTTGGTCACAAGTTCGAACAGATGATCTACGAGAAGGAGAAGGACAACCCTCGATTCGATTTCCTTCGCAATCAAAAGGTGTGAAGAATTGGTTTCTGAACATCATTAGTCACCGAGAGTCTTGCTGATCACGAGCGGTGTCTTTAGCTCCTCGAACACCAATACTTTCGCATGCTTGTGGATGATCGATACGAACCGGAGCTGCCACCCGACCCATTCAAAGACCAAGTGCGTTCAAACGCGCAGCGAATTTGTCCACGGATTCTGACGTGCTTACATACTCGCAGGGCCTGAACGAGCTGTATAGTAGCGATTCAGAGGAAGCCGAAGAAGCTGAATACCTGCGGAAGTCACGCAGAGGGGACGTGATTGGCAGGGCGGCGAGGCGACGCTTTGAAGCTATGCTGCGAGGCATCACGCCAAGACGCGAGCGGATAGCGAGGGCGATGCGCTTCGCGCTTGAGCATGCACATGCCTCTTCTGCAGTGAGTGTGAGGTGGGACCAGTGTTGGGAAGTATTTGCTTCGGCTCAAATGAACACTTACTGACAACCCACCCACACCGGCTTCGTCGACTGAGCAGATCGCGGAGCTCTTGATCGAATCGTTGCTGATCCCTTCCACGCCGGTACCACGCAAACTTGCGCGCCTCTACGTGCTCTCCGACATTCTGCACAACGGCGCGGTACCGTTGCCGAACGCGTGGAAGTATCGGCAAGCATTTGAGCAGCAGCTCCCGCTCGTCTTTGCGCACCTAGGCGATGTCGCACGTTCCTTCCCTGGGCGCATGAAGCAGGAAGGATTCAAGATGCAGGTCAGCGCGGTGCTGGATACATGGGAGGTATGGCTCATCTTCACGCCAAATCTGCTCGAGCAGCTGCGACAGCTGCTGGAGGGGGGCGGATCGGGAGTTGTTGCTGCTGCTTCTGGCGCAAGCTCGAGCGAGGCTGCCGATGCTAAAGTCGACGAGGGGAGAGAACAGGCCTCTGTGTCCGCGCTGTTGTCTGCAGGGGCAGACGAGGACGATGAAGTCGATGGCGAGGCCCTGTGATTCGCCGCCGTATCTGTAGCATATGTGCCTCTCAATATCTGTGGAAATATAGCAGCCCCCCATTGCCGATAACGCATTGCATGAAGCAAGTTGCTGGGTGAAAAACAGACTTTCAACAGTAAGCAGTCGCAAAGGCGCCATGCTGGCCGTTTGCTTCAGGACGATTTCCTTTCGCAAAGCGCAGGTGAGATCGATTCGATTATGAATTAGTACAAGGATAAAATCGGGAGCGAGCATGTCGAGATGGCTCTGGCAAGCTTCTAGGATGTCGCTGAGTCTGCCTGCATTCTGCGCTCGCGCGGCAACAACCATGCTGCAGCACGGAAGAGAGGCCTCTCATCGTTGCCGAGAGGCAAAAATGATTCTTTTGTAAAAGAATGTGTCGTTTATGGTTTTTCCTGAAGAGTGTGTCAGGTATGCACGCGAGTAGATTGGAGAGGAGCGAGACGATATAGATCGGCCTTGTGAGACTTGTGAGCTTTGGAGAGAGATCGAAGAGACACTGAGCGCTGCAAGGTCTAGTGTGAGATCTGTCTTCTAGAATTGCGGGTAACATAGACCAGTGCAGTGACAAGTTGCCTTCAGCATTTACGGCGCGTTTTCCGTCTTCTCAGACATTGTTGCTCGAGTGCTCGGACACGCTGCCCTGCTTGGCCTTCCTCTCCTCGGTAACGCCGGCTCTGGCGTGCATGGCGTTGTCCTCGACATCGTCGAGCAGGGCGATCGGCTTGCCGTGTTTGTCGTAGCGGCGCGGTGTCCTGCGCTCGATCAAGACGACGTCAAACGGGTTTGTCTTGGATGCGCGCGCGAAGATCTCGTCCATCTCCTCGAGCGAGCGCCCGGCGGTCTCGGGGAAGATGAAGTACGTCGCGACAAAGATGACGAGGTTGATGACTGCAAAGATGACGTAGGTCTTGTACTGGAGATGGGTCCAAGCACGCAGAAGGTCTGTCAGCACGTATTCCAGCTTGGGTAATTTTTAGAAGGGAGTAGGGAGAGACGCACCCCAATGTTAGCGAACGAGATCGGGGTGATCAAGACGATGAGGAAGTTGAAGATCCAGTTGGAGGCGGTCGAGATGCCGTTGCAGGCCGCACGGACTGGCAGCGGCGTCATCTCGGCGGGTGTGAGCCAGGTCATACCGAGCCAGCCAATGGCGAACCAAGTGTTGAACGAGAAGAGCATCACGGCTGCAATGATGGCAGCGGCGTCATTGGTGCCGCCCATGACTTTGGAGCCGTCCCTGTTGTACATTGGCTGGCCGTTCGGGCCGAGCTTGTGTACGGGGCGCGTGATACTCGGCGCGTTCGTCACGGCAAGCACTACCATGGATAAGCACTGACCCATGGCGCCGACCAGCATCAGCGGACGACGGCCAGTGCGCTCGACGAGCCAGACTGCGATCCATGACGCGGCAAAGTACTCGGTGCCGTTTGCGGCGGCGACGATACGAGAGACAATGTCTGACAAGCCAATGTTATTTTGGTAAATCGTGCCGGCGTACTGCACGTGCATGCACCGGAGTGGAAGGAGGGAGGCTGTTCGTTAGCTTCCGCTGCCTCCAATTTTTGTCTCCGCTCCCTTTTTCCAAAGCGGACACGCGATTGCTTTCAAAGCTCCAGCAGACTCTCGCGAACTCACATAAGTAATCAAGTTGATACCCGAGATCTGCTGGAACATCTGCGAAGTGAAGCCAAGCATCATGCGGTGGAAGTTGCGACCTTTTCCGTTGGTGAACAAATCGGAGAGGCGAACGTTTGTCACTTCGGCGAGCGAGTCCTTGATCTCCTTGACCTTGACATTGAGCTCTGGGTCGTCGAGTGGTAGCTCATCGAGCGACGACATGACCTCGCGCGCCTCGTCCTCGCGGCCTTTCAGCATGAGCCAGCGCGGCGACTCGGGCAGACTGATCGTCAGGATGGCGGTGGGGAAGCAGAGCAGGATCTGGAGCGCGATGGGCACGCGCCACGCGGCGTCCGCGTGCGGTAGACCGTTCTTGTCGACCCAGAAGAAAGCAAAATCGATCCAGTAGGAGATCATGATACCCCCCGTGATGAGTGCGCCCTCGATCATGATCAGCTTGCCACGCAAATGCGACGGCGAGCACTCGGACTGCCACGTCGGGATTGTCGCAGTGTTCATGCCGTTACCGATACCAGTGACGACACGTGCGATGGCGAGCTGAGATATCTTGAACGAAGTGGCCTGGAGAATAGCGCCAGCCACCATCCAGATGGTACCGATAAGAATGACCTTTCTACGACCGAGGACATCTCCGATGACGAGACACGAGAGAGCTCCCTGGCAAAATGCAGATGTGACAATGGTGTGCGTCGAAAAGCGTCAAAAGGGGTCCTTTTCCAGAGCTCCACAGCGTCTCCTTTGTCAACTCACAATCAGACAACCGATTTCATAGATACCGATGACGACACCTTGGAGCACTGACTCATGGGATGCCCCGCCCAAGCCGACAGTGTCAATCTCCGGGAATTGCTTCGTGAAGCTTGGCAGCGTGAGCAAACTGCCCATAACACCTTGATCATATCCTGCGGAACCGAATTGATTCAGAAAGAGGTCACGGTCAACGCACGTCGTCTCGTCGATTCGCACCCAGGCAGAGGCGGAGCGAGACAATGCGCCTGATGTGGCGTCTCTATGCGTACGCATGCGCAACTTACCGAACAGCAGGAAACCAGCACCGGCGGCGAGACCGATCATTCGGGACAGCTTGGTCCCGGAGAAGCCCATGTATTTGCGGCCAGTGAAGGCCGGCTTCTCTGCGAGTTCCTTGCCCATGGTTGCGAGGGGCGGGACTGTCGCTTTTGACGCTGTCGTCCGTTCTGTGGCAGGAATGAGGGCGAGTGCCTGGGGTACGTTGAAGACGCGTGCAGCGGTAGATGGGCAGTGGCACGCGTACACGTCCGTATCCGACTTCTTCTCGTTGCCACCGGCGGTGTGCCGAGGGCAGCCCAAGGGAGGGGATCAGGGTAGGAAAGCACACGAAGGTGGCGCGGGAGGGGAACAACAGGGGAAGGGGTGACGTAGGATTCGGCGAGGTCGCCAACGGCGGGGGCGCGGGCTATATATGCATCTGTGGTTCTAGAGAGAGGGGGTTGTGTGTGTCAATTTATGATGCATGTGTAGGGACTGCAGGAAAAGAGAGAGTCGGGTGATGCGCCGCATTCAGTCTCTCTCATTCATCTATTCTTGTCGGTGTTTTTACCACGTCACCCAGCCAGCGCAGACTAGAGACCCGCGACGAATCGCTTCTTCATCACACAAATCGGTTGCTGCTGCTGCTACTTTGACTAGCTGCTGGAGGCTACTGGGCGAGAGTCAGACGAACGCCAAGCTGGCATGGCGATGATGATGGTGGTGTTGGTTATTATTTAGGCACAGGCACATGGCGTCCCCTACCCTCTCCTCTGCTCTCCTGCACGGAGTCGCTTGTCTATGTGCTACTTCAATAGTGCCTACCCATGTGCACCCCACCCCACACACAGCAGCAACCTTTCCCGAGGGAAATGCAAAGAAGAACCGGCATCGTTGAGCCCCGATGAGGCGATTGTGCATGTGTTAGCGCCGTTAGGCACTGGAGTGCAAAAGGGCACTATGGAGACTGAAGCGCAGCGAAAATAAAAGTGCTGCAATGCGCCATGTACGTATGTGGAATGACCCCGACGGAATTGTCCAGTATGAAACTCAGTGGCTGTGGTCCCATGCATTCATCTTCCGAGCGAGCGCCGGTGTGCTGGCAGCTCGAGCTCCAGAAGAAGCACTCGATGGATGAGATTGGGAGCTCTCGAGTCTTGGCCGATGATCTGTCCGACGACAACTGCCCCATCGTAGGTGTGCGTGCAACCTTCTGGCGGAATCACGAGGACGACTGATTGATCCGGCGTCCCCAGCCGATCAGGCTATTCGGACAGTCTGGCGCGGTGTGCCTCCTGAACTTATCGCGCTAAAAACAGAGAAAGCCGGTGGGTGTTCGTTCTTCTCCTTCCATACCCTCCCCCCCACTTGCCCCCACCCCCTCGCGTTTTGTGTGAGGAGCGGAATGGCCTCTCCTCTTGCGCGCAGGGGCGGAGAGCCACAATGCGCCAATGCTTCCTCAACTAGTTGGCAATCTGCTGCGCCCTCTGCTCCAGTCCTTCGCCACTGACAGCTCGGCCAGACTGTCCCAGAGCTGGAGACCGCAGCGCGATGTGCAGCACTCATTCAGGCTGTTTAACACGAGATGTGTTCCCTTCCATCCTCAGAGTTGGGATCCGATACAGCCGGCTCAGTCTCTTCGGTTGCGATCCCTAACAGCCGGCACTCCACTCCCCTGCGGCCTCTGCACAACACTCGCGCCTCGTCGCATCTCGACAGTCTCTCTGTCCCTAACCCCCCCCCAGAGGCCAATTTGAAAGTCCATGCGACATCAACAACATCACATATGGAACACCTTGATGAGGCTTCCTTCAGCTGGACCATCCATCGGTCGCACCACGACCAAGTTGTGCTCTGCCGCACTGACACAAAGAGGCCATCTTGTATTCTGAAGGAGACGTCACATTCGCCAGCCGCTCATTGACCACCCTGGAACAAAGCACATGGCATGCGCGTGACGTGTGACTTGGCAAGACATGTGTACTATCCGCAGGGCTGCTCTCGTTGGAACTATGCACTCCAATTGCAGAGCGCAGGGGTTCGTCGAGGAGGCCGATCGCGAGCACAGTCTGGTCAAGGCCATGTCTCAGCAATACTGTGTGCCCGCGTGGAGACGACCCTTGGGTGAGGCAAAGAAGGGCGAACAAACAAGCATCGTAGATTCTGTGACCTCGCGTTGTTGTATATGCTACAGCAGAGACCAGAAGTATGCAGGTGTTTGCGACGGGGGGATGTACAAGACGTGGGGAAGAGAGACAGATCCAACAAAGACATAGAAACAAATATCCGACCATAGGTATATGCGCATGTATCACTTCGTGCCCCTGAGGGTCCGCCCTAGTTGAGCGATGACGAACGCTCGGTGCGCTCCGTACTTTCTAAAATGCCTTCCTCGCAAGAAAGGTACCGTATCCAATAGGCTAATCGTGCGCGCCTGGAAGACGAAGTGGTGGTGCAAGTCAGTTCCCTGCATGACGCATAGTCGGTCAACCGACCGTACCCACGCAAACGAAAAAAGAGACGAGTGAGGAGAAGGAGAGGCTTCAGGTCGCTTGGCCGATCTGTGGCGATGCGATGCCTTCCGAAATCGCCGCTGTTGCAGTCGCAGCCGCAAAGTGCGACGGGAAGCCAGCACCCGCGAACGTCGCCGCTCGCTTCGCAAAACTAGCACCGGGGCTGGTGTCGACCGCATGCACGGGCAGGATGCCGCCGGCGCGCGACTGTCGACGCTCCTCGTACATCTGGCGTGTGCGAGACTTGATGTTCGATGCGCCGCTGCTCGTCGCCGATCCAGCGGGGGATGCTGCGCCCGGGGCGTGGTGGCGCGACGTGGGCGAGGGCAGCAGCGACGGGTCGTCCAGGATGCTGCTGTTCGCCGTTAGCGAGAGCGGCCGCAGCTTCGGCGCTTTCAATGCCGTCTGTGCGGGACTGCGGAAGCTCTCCGTTACATCCGACGCGGCGCTGCTCATACTCCCCTGCGATTCGGAAGAGCTGAGCGGCTGCGCGAGCGGTGATCGCTGCCCCGTGGACGAAGATGACGAAGCAGCTGCCAGCGGTGGCTTAATCGTGTGCACCGACTCCGTCGGGCTCGGGCTCGGATTTGCAGGCGTCTCGGGTGGCGTTAGCGGGCTGAGGATGTGTGGAGGTAGAATATTCGACGGCCGCAGCACTAGGTCTGACGGCTTTTTCACGGGTGAGCTTGTTGCGTCTTGCTTGTTGCGCAGAAAGCTCGAAGGCGACCGTGGCACTGTCGAGTCGCGTAGCATGAAGCGTCCGAAGGTGTCTTCGCGTTTCGTTCGCGCCGCCAGGCTCTGCTGCACGCTCTGTAGCAGCTTGGCCCGCCGATCGATCGCCTGGTCATGCCCTTCGCCCATCGTCTCCGTCAGACAGCTGCTTGCGATGCTCATCGTATCTGCATCAGTTCGTGGCGACGCAAGGCTGTAAGCGCTAGCCCGCGACGGTCGTGAAGGCGAGAACGCTGATGCCGCTCCAAAGCGGGGAGAGCTGCGATTCATGTCCGGAGACAGAACGGGCGCCTTGCTAGGTTGCGCTTGCGCTTGCTCACGCGTCGGGTACTGCGGGGCCGTAGACGACGGCCGGCTCGGCAAGTGAGAAAGGGTGCGCTGGAACTCTTCGAGAGGCGAAGACTCTGAAGAGCCGACGGTGATGGAAGTGTTGAGCGCGCCGAAATCGATGTCTGCGTCCTCATCAGCTGCGGTGGACGCTGTTTGGCACCTCTCCTGCTGTTGCTTGCGTCCGGTAGCCCACTTGCCGGATTGCATGATGGGCGACTCTGAGATGGCACGGTCTGCTGCCTCTCTCGCTTGCAGGACTCTTCCCATGACCGCAGTCGTCACCGCATCATCGCGCGAACGTTCGTTGATTTCGTCGCCACCGCTGAGTCCCAGTCCGATTGCGTCCTTGGTCCCGGGTATACGGTCCTTTGGGAGGAACATCGGCATTTCGTCGTCATCGGTCGAAACGCGCCACTGCTCGGTAGCTGGTGCGCCAAAGCTGGTGCTGATTGTCGACATGGTATCAGGGCGCTCGACGTTGCAGGCTTTCTCCTTTGACAGCACCTCCCTGGCCCAACTGGGCGATTCGGTACCGGGACTTGATGGCAGCGCCGGACTGTGCCGTGAAAAGCGGGCTCTGATGTTGTCTGCGAATGAGGGCCGACGAGACAGATCTCTGGGATCAGGAGCAAGTTGACTGAGCAGATTTTCGCGTCGTTGCTCCGCTTCGCTTCGTATGCTCTGTTCTGTATCCTCCTCAGGAATTTCAGGGAAGACGGCACGGTGGAAAGGACTGACGAAAGCAAACTTGCCTTTTGCTATCGCTGCAGCAGGCGGGCTGGAGGCGAGGAAATTGGTGGCATCTAGGGCCACCGATCGATGAGCGTCAAGCACATGCTCCCGGATGGTGGGCAAAGGCTTGTCGATAGGACTCGACGGCGTCGCAGCCGCCTTCCACTCCTTGGAAGGCACAACAGGCGACACCTCACGAAGCGCACTGATGTCGAATGACGTCGACTGCGTTTCGTAAGAGTTATCATCGACGGTCATGCTGTCGTCAGAGACCATCACTGAGGGAACCGAAGAGTCGCCGGGGTGCGATGCCGTCCCAGCGGTCCGCTGGGAGTTGCCGGAGCTTAACTTGGGGTCCGAGCTGACATGGCTCGGCAAAGATGGGACGGGAGGGGCGTCCGCGCCAGGTGCAAATACGCGGCTCGAGGTACGAGACGATTGCGACGAAACTTCCTCTGTGCTGTAGCGAGATCGCGAGCTTTCTAGCTCACCACGACCTGACGAGCTCCCAGACGAGATGCCAGACGAGATGCCAGACTCTGGATCTTCTACGACGTTGTTGTTGCTATCCCAAAAGCTTCGGCGTGCATTTCTGAAAAGCGCTGCGCCAATCGAAGAGTTGGAGGAGCTGCTGAGGGAGAGACCAAGGCTGAGAGGTCGGAACGCGAGATTGGGCAAAGCCTCATCCGACTCATCCACTTCCTTGACGGGGACATCAATCGGCTTGCCGAGAGACTTGCGCACCTGGCTGCTTCGCCGGTCAAGGCCATCAAGCTTCTCGGGCATGTTGATTGCAACGTGCATGTGGCTTGGGATGGACGGTATGGGAGGTGCGTACGAATCGACAGAAAATCGAGCTGAGGCGAGCGACGATGCAGACTGGTACACGGTGTCGCCGCCGCCGGTAAGCTTTGTAGAGACACTGCCGGACCTGGCACGGCTAGAGGCGTAGGTATTGTTAGAGCGCTTCGACTCAATGGACGGCCTCGCGTCTTTGATGCTCTGCTTTCGTGAGACTGGCACCAGGGACATTGTACTCGGGCCATTGTGGTCCGTTTCGGCGATGAAGCCGCTGTTGGGAGGAGACGACTTGACGCAATCGAAAGCCGTGCTGAGCGTGTTGGTGAGCCAGGCGCTGCGCTGGATCTCAAAGTCGAGATCATCTTCGATCCGCATGGTGGTCCGCGTGGTAGCAGGCTCCAGGTCGAAATTGAGGTTGAGGATCGGCGTCAGTGAACCCCCTTCCTCCAAATCGAGTGTGTGATGGCCCACAACCGGAGCCAGGCGAGGAACAGAGTCGAGCGAGGACTCTGACGCGGAGGAGTTAGTCGTCGTGTCTGCCAGGTCCGGCACCGAGGGCAGCTCGCCGAGGCTGCGGAGCAGCTGAGAGGGTACAGCTACTCGATTGGCACGCCTTTCGGTTCGAGCGACCGTCGAATGCTCAGCAGATGTGATGCGCATGGAACCTTTACCGCTGCTGAGCCTAGCTGCTTTGGGCCTGCGGATTTCATCGGCTTCCTTGCTCCCATCACCGATCTCTGACTCGGAGCTGGTGGCTGGTGCAGGGCCTGAGGAGTTCGTCTCGTTTGAAGTGCTCGATGGCATGTCCCACATGGCCGCAGCACGAGCAGCCAGCTCATTGGACATGCCATTGTGCTTCTCGAGATGTCTTCGCGATAAGGCAGTGCGCTGCTCCACGGAAGTCTTGCCTAGATCGATGGCGTTGTCGACATGTTGCGGAGCGAATTTCAGCTGCGGCTCGCCAATCATGATGCCTTTACTCTTCGCGCTCTCGTCTTTGCCGCGCACACGATTCATGCGGAGCTTTGCGGCAAGTTCAGGCTTACAGACGCGGATGTAGACGAAAGCGCCGAAGGCAATCGAAGTGATGAGCGAAACAACACCGATGACGGCAAGAACCGCGGGCACCACGGATGACGTGGCAGCGTCAACCGTGGTTGCTGCAGCCGCCGCCGCTCCCGCTTCAGCTCGACCGCGCAGAGACATCGTGCTGCGAGGCATGCGGTATTTAGAGTCAGCAAAAGGCCGTGGCCGTCCAGAGCAGGACTTTGCTCACCCGGCAACGCCAAAGAGTCAGGGCCGGAAATGCAGTGGCTCTAGACCGCTCGAAGAGACGTCAACGGTCAGCGCTCGCTTGTTACTCTTGATAAGATCGTCCTGTTGCCTCGGCGAGCATGAACCTCGTTGCGAGGTGCGAAACAGACTCCTTAGCCAAGCCGGGGTGACGCGCTGTTGAATGTCGCCTAAAGAGAACCGAATAAAGACCGTACCGCGAGGACGTCGGATGTCACGACAGCATGGACGGACCGTGATTGAAATCAATGTGAGGTGACCGGCTAAGAGAATCTCACGAGGTGATCCAGCGTCTGGAAAACAGTCAATGGGAACGACAGGTTGCAAAGAAGACTGAGTATAGGTCACCCAAATGTCCCATAGTGGTTTTGGATACTGGACGATTGGCCTTTGATGTGATCGATTATGGTTGACGCTGCAGGCTGGACATTGCGATGCGAACAAAACACACTTGGCTCCTCGTCCTAGTGCCAGCTCTGGACAGCTATTGCCACCATTCACCTTTGCGTCCTATTTCCTCTCTCAGTGTTGCAGAAGCGCGTTACCAGTATCAGACGTCAGCATACGACTATCTAAAGTCTCGCACGCTCCCCATTGCAGCACATCAGCTCTCTGGACGTGTAATCCGTAGACTGAGGCGACGCCCTTCCCCAGGGCAGTCCCTGGCCTCCTGCAGGATTCAAATACCCGGAAAGCGTGTTTTTGTGCATTTGTGACGGACAGACTGTTGCCTCCAGCTTTGGTATGTGCGTTGTGGAGTGTGGAGCATAGAAACCGTTAGACTGGGCAAGCGGAGCACTCGAACCCAATTCCGGGTCAGCAGCTGAGGCGTGGATACCCTGAACAGCGGGCGTATGCCAGTATGGTGGGTCAGTGGATGGCCTTAGACATGGGACCTTGGAGCTGGGGCAGGCTGGAGCCTGGAGTTTGAACATTGCTTGATCGACTCGCTGGCTCTCTCAAGTCTCGCACCGGACAGCATCCTCGCATCAGCCTGCAATATGCAATCCGTATCTCAGCAGCAACCTGCTGGAACACCTGCTGGTACCATCTTCCGGTACTGTTGGCATGCAAAGGATTGCTATGCCGACAGTTGGAATTTTCGTCGAGCAGTGGACAAGAGATGGACCTAGATTCTGGAAGTGCAGCTGCGGAGATGGAATGCAATGCAAGCAAGCCTCCTGGCTTCGTGGAATGTGCAGGCGCGGACGGCTTTACGAAAGATTCCAACTAAAGGGATATTCCGTAAATCCACTCATGCGCTCTGACATTCGACGTTGACAGGTTCACAATCCGCTGCTATGCAATTCGCCTGTCACCACTCAACGATCATAGATGACTTGGATCTTGGCAGATTCGGCCAGGACGAAAATCCTCGCCTGCTTGGTGTCTTCAAACGCGGGCCACTCATTGATCACTCTTGGGACGCAGAAGGCCAGACAAACTCTCGACTCGACCTTCTCTCAACTCGTACTCGAACCAACATCGCTGCTGGCAGCCTGCAACGAGGCGTCAACAGCTGTACACCTGCCACGGAAGATTTTTTTTGTTCGCACTCTCGCACAGACTCACATCTGCTGCCCTATCGTCAGCAGAACACGCTTGTCCCCGCCGAAGACCCCCGGAGACGAAGAAGGAAAGGAGGCAATATCTGCTGCCTGTATTGGTAGGCACATACTTCCCTCACAATGGACGACTTTGATCTGTACGGCGTGAGTCTCCTGCTTGCCTTCTCGTGGGCTGCACCATGTACGACCGCCACTCCCTGTGGGCATATACTTCTTCCTTTAGGCTATGGATTGTCTGTGGCTGGATGAGGACTGGAGCGAAACTCTAGTCCGCAGTAGTGTACAGCAATGACGATGCCAGCCTCGAGGAAGCCGCGGCGGCACTCAGGTCGTCTAACCCTCAATGTGTATGGTAGAAGAAAAGTTGCCTGGCTGACACGCATGTACGCTTTCTGTCGCTCCCTTTCATTGTACATCTGCGCAATCCACTTCGCAGGACGACCTGTACAGCGGTGGCGGCGACACCAGAGGGCCACCCCTGGGCTCTGAGGCCAAACCATCTGGACCAGGAAAGCAAGAGCCTCATGATGACGCGAAGCCGCCAGCGGCTGCGGCTAACGCTCCAAATGGCATCGGTGGGGCAGCAAAACGATCATGGGAGGAAAGCGAAGACGTGAGGGTAAAAGGTGCCGTGTGGTTTTGGTTTGCAGCAGGGCTGAATTCTGAATGCGCCTCTTACGTGACAGGCGGACCGGAGCATGCAGCCTGGAGTAGCAGGTGGCGAAGCTCCGAGGCAAGAGCTGACTCCACGTGAAGCGCTTGCAGGCCGACCAAAGGTGACAGACCCAAGCATTCAAAACGCGCTCTACGTCGCCGATTTGAACTGGTGGTGCACAGACGAGGACCTTCGGCAAGTTGCTGCTGGCGTTGGCATCGCTATCGCGCTCAGCGATGTGACCTTCTCGGAGCACAAGGTCAACGGCAAGAGCAAAGGTGTTGCATATGTTGAGATGGCGAGCGAGGACGAGGCGCGCCGGTTGATGCGCTGGTTCGAAGAGAATGACTTCCAGCACAAAAAGGCAGACGTCAAGCTCACTACATCAGCCAACGGTAATCCTTTTGCTGTCCTCCCTAAGGACCCTCCGCCGCGTGCAGACCGCGACGGGGGAGGAAGGGGGGGCCGTGGCGGTGGACGAGGACGTGGCCGAGGTGGCTACGATGGCGGCATGGGCAGTGGAAGGGGCGGCGCTTCTTCTGGTCCGGGCGGCATTGGCATCGGTGGCCAACCGGGCGGGATGCCGCCGATGATGAACCCGATGGCCATGATGGGCATGATGGGTCGTCCGCCGTTCGGCCCGGGCGGGATGCCTGGGTTCGGGCCGCCAGGCGGCGCGCCGGGTGGGCCTGGTGGCTTCGACGATGGAGGTCGTGGTGGACGAGGCGGCTTCCGTGGGCGAGGTAGGGGACGGGGAGGCATGGGTCAAGGACACTATGTTAGTTTCGTCTGTAATCGTGTAAGGCAGCATGCCAAGAAGTTGACAACGCTACTCTTCCTTTTCAGAACCCAAATTTCTTCCCCTCTGGCCCAGGCATGGGTTCCGGAGAGGACGATCGAGCACACAAGCGATACCGCGCTGACGATGGCAGGTAAAGAGACGCCGACATGCGTCACAACATGTACTTTACCAAATCACATATTCTGCTGCCGTACCAAAATGACTGAGTACGGTGGATTGAACTATTCCCTTAAGGATGCAGTCACACAAAAGGCCATACACAAATACAATCTTAGTGCGCATGCTAGTGAACATGGGTGAATGACTCGCTGTCGATGCCTCTCTGCTCATGCGCTGATCAGGCAGCTACCCTCATCGGGATGTCATTGCAAGGATGGTCGGTGTTAGTGCGAACAAAATTTACGCCTTGAGGACGTAGCGCTTGTTCTGGAAGTGTACCTGCTTCTTGTGTTCCCTGACAGTGACTGCATTCTTCTCGTCCTGCAGAAAGCAAATGAGCCTTTTGTTAGCAAGGAATTCTCAATATGAAGGGTAGCAAGTTGACAAGCCGCCTTCGGAAACGTCGCAAAAGGCTTCCATATACAGCAAAAGCTTGAGTTCGTCTCTTCTTCGACGCTGCAAGTCTTCTAGAAGAATACCAGGATGTGCCGTGGGCAGCATGCGCTGATCTGTACTCAGCATAGACAAGTGCTTGCCGCATGGCTGCCTCGACACCTCTGCTTCAAGGTTCTCTGTCCTTCTCCCGGCGACAAGTTAGAATACCTGCTTTTGCCCTGGCCGTGCTCAGCCTGGTACAATTCACCCAGCCAGTCCGCCCAACATCACGCCCACCATGATTCAGCGACCGTATTCACCTTGGTGAGAGCCCGTCGGAGCGCACGGGTCTTCTTTGCTCGGAGGTCAAGGGGCTGGTACTTCTTGCCCTTGTAGAACTCCCGCAAGTTGGCGCGCTGCTTCTGGTTCATGACAGTGAGAACCCGAGCAATGCTCTTGCGGACCGAGTTGATCCGGGTGAGCTTGCTCGAAGAGCCACCAGCGACCTTCTGCACCCGCAGCTTAAGGAGCTCCTCCTTGAGCTCCTCAAGCTGCTTGGTGAGGTCCTGCTTGGACCTGGATTGCAATTCGTATGCCTTGACCTTCGCCTGTGCAAAGAAAGCAAGCACAGCGTGTCAGCTCACGGGGAAGTATTCTTTTCCCGCAGGAATGAAAGTGTGCCAGTGCGGTGAATGGCTATTGAATATTGCATGCTGCAGACGAATGCTGCAGCGGCATGTCCGCCCATCCGCAATCGTTCAATAATCTGGCAGCCTTCACAGAGCAGCTGCGCCTGCTCATTGGTTGCGCTGCTCCATCGAGTTGCCCGAGGTGATGTAGAGACCACCAGATATAACCGAGCGGCTGCCACACTTGTCGGAGAGCTCCTTAGTGGGCCCTGTCCCTCGCACAATGCGCCCGTACAGCGCAAACAGACCGCCATCGCAGATCTACTTCCTGATCATGCTACTCACCATCTTGCCCTATGATCCCTCAAATTGTTGATAGGTGACGGTGAACGAGCATCCACAAAGGTATGAAGTCAAGCTTCTCACGATCCATTTTTGGCCATTGAAGCCTGTGCGGACTCACGCGAAGGCGGAGTGCGGCCCGCCCGCGTTGCAGCGTCTCACCAATTTCTCGTTTTGCTGCGGAAATATTCAGCCCAATTTCCTCGCTCACCATTTCACAATACTGCGCTTGTCCGCAGGGCAAGGCCGCGCGCGGCGCACAACCGCACGTGCATTCACCACGATATGCTTTCAGGTCACATCGAGTTTTCAGCCAAACAGCTGCCTGTGCCTGACCAGATGCGTCACACGCGTCAATGCAGGCAAGACGAGGAAATCCCTTTCTGTCAGTGACGTTGCCCAAGCAGCTTCACAGCATTTGAGGCATAACCAGGCACACATGGTGACGAACGTACAACGTTACGACTCTTATGCCAGAAGGGCGAAATGTGTTCTCTGTGATGCGCGTGTCCAATGTTGGCCTATAGTACAAGACACATGCAATCCTTCGAAAGGGTCAATGCATGGAACGATGCGGAACGTGATGTTCTCTGTGATTGTTAGCAGATCTACTCTTCAACGGTGGCCTCGACCCCGCCGAGCTCTTCAGCAGTCTTCTTGCGGTGAGACTTATCTCTACCCAATCGTGACTTGAGCGGCGGCTTGGGTGCATCAGAGACGATGCCGGCCGCTCCTTCCTCGACAGGTTTCGCCTTGCTCTTGCTTCGCTTCTTTGGCGCCGAGATTTCTCCACCCTCTCCACCCTCCTTTGTCTTTTTCTTCTTGCTCGGCTTGGCCCCGGCCAGACTCTCCGCTGCAGGCGCTTCATCTTCCATGCGTGGCGGCGGCTTGGCCCCAAAGAAGTCATCTTCGTCGTCTTCGAGTTCCCAGACGAGTGCAGACTGCGCTTTCGCAGCCTCCTCTGCCGCGACTGCAGCCGCCTTGTTGAGCTTGCGCTTCGCGTGCATTGCACGAGCGCTGTCTGCCTTGGCCTGGATCAGCTCTTGCTCCTCTGCCTGCTTGCGACGCAGCATGGATTCAGCCAACTCATCGTCATCGAGCAAGAGAGACACGATCTCCTGCGGCCTGGCCATGCCCGTCTCCGAGTAAGCCTTGTTGCCGACGACGATATCCTGAACCTCCTTCTTGTTCCGCGCAAGCTTAACGATACGTTCGTCGATGGTCCCCTTCGTGATCAAGCGGTAGACGGTGACCTGCTTGGTCTGGCCGAGACGATGTGCGCGATCCATTGCCTGTGAGTCGTTGGACGGGTTCCAGTCGTGATCGTAGAAGATGACCGTGTCTGCTGCCGTGAGGTTGATGCCGAGGCCTCCGGCGCGTGTGGAGAGCAGGAAGATGAAAATTTCGGGCTTGGTCTGCCAGTCGGTGACCATGTCGCGACGATCGGAGATCTTAGAAGCACCGTCTAGTCTGAGGTATTTGTATTGCCGGTAGATCAAGTACTCCTCCATCAGGTCGATCATCTTGGTCATCTGGAAGTAGATGAGCACACGGTGTCCGCCGGCCCTGAGCTCGCGCAGGAGTGCATCGAGACGCGCAAGCTTGCTAGAGTCAACGATGAGTTTGTTCATCTGTGGGACCTGCATACCGGAAGCGGGCAGCTGGTCCTGTGAAGAAGCAGCAAGCAAGCCTCTGGGAGGAAGGGCAGGCAATGCAGCTTGCATCCCTTCAACTTCCTTGGGAATGTCCGCGCGCTGGCCCGGGAGACCGAACAAAGCGGCCGAGGCGAGTGGATCGGTGTGCAACGCCTCCTGGCGCATGGTAAAGGACCTGTCGCTGCACACCAGTTCGATAGGTGGTGCGACAGCCGGTCTGACAAAGGCCCGCTTCGATGGAGGCGCAAGCACCGAGTGCGATTTGGCATCTTGTGCGATCTCGTCCATCGATGGCACTCCGAACTGTACGACCGGCTCGACGATAGACGGTAGCGCCTTGCGCACGTATGCGAATGGCCGAATGGAGGCCGCGGCAAAGTCTTCATCGAAAAGCAGGGTGCCGTGCGCTCTGAGACGCTCCTCGCGATCCGTATCACGCAGCACGTTGATGAGCGTGCGGCCATGGAACGCTATTTCTGCGTCGGAAATGGGCAAATCCATGAGCGGCAGAGTGGAGAATGCTGACTGTGATTCCCCTAGGGATTGCAAAATGTGATGTGGGCGCCAGATATTGAAGAGGTTCTGCATGTAATGCGTGTCAAACCCGGCGCGCGAGCTGGCGCCTGGAACGGTGAGCATGCCGCTGTCCTGGTACATGAGCTTGGGGACCGCCATCTTGATCGGGTTGACAGTCGAGTAGGGGCAGAAGAGCGAGTCACCTTCGCGCGAAAGCGATCCAGACTGTGCGGACTCTGCAAATGCGAAGGGTGCTTCGACGTCTGCACGTTCGAATAGTTCAGGGTGGTTGCACACCTGGAAAGAAAGAGAGTTGAAAGAAGAGGATCAGCGAGATTCGAGCTGCGCTGCTTTGAACAGAGAGGCATACTCACCTTTCGGAATTGCATGACCAAGTTCATGAGTGACTTGAGGCCTGCCTCGTCCTGCATGTTGCTCGCTTTGTCCATGAGCTCGGCGATGGAGACATGCGATCGCAAGCCTCGGTACAGCGCTCGCTGCCTTGCACTCATGTCGCAGAAGAGGTCTATTTCAATCTGGAGAAAAGGCAAGCGGAAAGTGCCAGGTGTCAGTGCCAGCAAAAAGAAATCGCTGCCCGCCTATCTGCGTGGTTCCTTGCTCGCAGGCAGGCAGCCATGTATCGCGCGGGGTAAAGAGCTCACCTTCTCGCCCAGCTCGTTCTGGACATTCTTCTTGATGCGGCGCAACATGAAAGGCTTAAGAATCATGTGCAGACGGCGAAGCTGGTGCTCATTGAGGGTGCCCTTGTTCTCGGCATGGCTCTCGATGTCCTTGGAGAACCACTCGCTGAACTCGTCGTGCGAGTCGAACAAACTGGGCATTATAAAGTGCAGAAGAGCCCAAAGCTCCTGCATCGAGTTCTGCACCGGTGTGCCGGTCAGCAGCAGGCGGTTGCGGCAGTTGAAGCCGAGCAGGGTCTTCCAGCGCGTGCTGCTGGACGACTTGATCGCCTGCGCCTCGTCAAGGATCATGTACTGCCACTTGACGCGCTGGAAGTACTTTTCGTCCGAGACAACGAGCTGGTAGCTCGTGACGAGCACATGGAACGGCGCGTCACGGTTATACGCCATCTGCTTCTTGTTCCAGAACTTGCGCAGCACCGCACGATCCTTGACATTGCCCCAGTACGGCAGAGCCTTGAGCGAGGGGACAAAGCGCGAGATCTCCTGCTGCCAGTTGTGCAGCGTCGAGGCGGGCGCGATAACGAGGAAGGGCCCCCAAATGTCGTGCACCTCGGCGAGGTAGGCCATCAGCGAGATGCTCTGCACCGTCTTGCCGAGGCCCATCTCGTCTGCGAGAATGCCGTTGATGCCTTGCTCGTACAGGTTGGCGAGCCAGTTGAGGCCCTTGAGCTGGTACTCTTTGAGCTGGCATGTGAGCATCTTGGGCTGCTTGAGATCCATGGCGCCCATGGACGTCGGGTTGAGGAAGTTCATGTCGTCCGAATCGAACGCCTTGCCTAGGTCCTTCTCGGCGATGCGCTTTCCGTCGGCCGCAGCTTCCTCATCGGCCGCGGCATGAGCAGCAGCGGCGGCTTCGTTGCGGCGCCTCTCCTCTGCAGCGTTCTGATCGAACGCGACGGCCTTACGACGAGCGGCGTTGACGGCCTCCTCTGCGTTGCGCATCGCGTGTGCGCGCAGATTGGTCTCGTCTTCATCGTCAAAGTCGATTTCCTTGAGGTTGCTCTGCGCGTCGACTTGCGGCACGTCGCCGGATGCCGCGGCGGGGTTGATGATCTTTGCGCTGCCGGAAGTCTCGTCGGTCTCCTCGGCCTCGTCGGTCTTGAGCTTGCTGCCGACAAAGTGGCTGTACAGCTCGGTCTGCGTGATGAGGAAGTTGAGCTTGCGCGCCTGGCGCTTGGCCTCGCGCATCTCCTCCTCCTTCTTGGCGCGCTCGACCGCCTCCTTCTCCGCCTTTTTTCGCAACTCGCGCTCCTCCTTTTCGTTGCGGCGCCAAAAGACGAGCATCTCGCGCATGATCTTGCGCGCGCGCAGTTGCACGTCCTTGACTGTCTTGGTATTGCGCGTGACAGCGCGGCGCGCTTCGCGCTGCACGACCTGCGAGATGCGCCGCCAGTACGTCGCCTTGTTCGTATAGCTCATCTGCACCGTGCGACTGACCTTGGGGATCTCTTTCTTGGCAATCATCGTCCAGATCTTGCGGTGCGCCTCCTCGAGCGCCTTGGCGCGTCGCTCGTCGATGACGACGTACCCGCTCTCGGTGTAGTCTATGCCGGTGCGGTCGTCCATGTCGGGCGACGGCATGCGCGAGCCGCCAGCCAGCGAGTCGATATCCACAGCGGCAGCGACAGACGTCTCTGCATCGCCATTGGCGAGCGGCATGTCGTCGTCGTCTTCCTCATCGCCGTCCTCTTCGCGCTCGGCCTTGACCGCGACGGCAGCGTTAGCAGCAGCCGCGGCTCCTGCATCAGCAACAGAAGTCAGGGCCCTCTTCTTCTGTCCTTTCCTACTCTTGCGCTGCCCGGTGACGCGAGCCGCCTCGGGAGGTAGGTAGCGCGCCGCAAGTGGCATTTCGTCCTCCGTCTCTTCGTCCTCGTCCGCCTCCACGTCCGCGTGTTGGTGTCCCTGCAGCAGCAGCAGCTGCTGCTGCTTCTGCTTAGACGACTTCTTGCTGCCGCTGCTGGTGAGTGTGCCGAGGAGCTCGTCCTCAATCGCCTTTTCGCGGCGCTCCCGCTGCTTGCGCGCCTCGACGTCGGAGCGCGCGCGCTGGCGGTCACGTTCGCGCTGGCGGTCGCGCAGCGCCTCG